TCTGACCATCTTTTGTCACGTTGTAATTTCATTTCCAAGAAACCTGTTGGCCAAATATAAAATTCACTGTAATTCCTAAATTTAGCATGAATAACTTTGGGCTCAGCTGTGGGTTCAGAACTGGTCAAGGCCTTTTTTTTTTTTTTTTTTTTTTTAGAGGAGTTGTTATTCAAGAAATTTTCAAGCATATACAGCACACATTCCAAGAATTAAAAATAGAGATGATATAAAGGCTCTTTTCACATTATTCTCATGCCATTGGTTCACAATCTGCTCTTTCTGTGAGAGGGAGAGTCCTGAATGACCAGTCAAAGAGGATGTGGTTTTGAGGCGACACTGAGTGAAGTTTACCACAAGGTATGAACTGTCAGTGACCCCTGTCAGACAGAACAGCCCAGTCAGGGAGGCTGAAGCCGGGTAGGGCTCAGGACACACTGGCAGCAAACAGCTGGAATTAGAAGTGGCTGCTTTACATTTACACCAGCGACCAAAGGACTTAATATAAATTCCCAAAGGGACTCTGAAGAACCCAACATTGTACCACAACGTACAGACAGGCTCCAGCCTTCTCTCAGCTGCTTTGCTGCAGGGAGTCAGCATCCTTGTGAATGATAAATGTGTAAAATCTGCATGTTGGATGTTATGTAACGGCTAACATCAACATTTGAGTAAGAGGTTTAAATACAGATTTGTTATTACTGTGTTTTTGTATTTTTTTTTTCTTCAAATGTACTACATCAAAAATCTATGTTACTGACATTGGGGCATTCAGGTCACTCATGAGAATTTCTAAAACATCTTTCTGTACTGTATATATATATCGCTTTGTGCTGGATGGCAGGGGCAGTCTGACATCCACTGGCCACAGCTGAGGGAGAAGATGACATTTTAGGTCCCTGCTTCATGTTGTAGTTGATGATTTAAAGGGTACCTCCTCTGATTCAGTTGAACCTTTGGTGTTGCGATGAGACTTCTTAAAATTCTGACATAATCCTCTGATCGCACTTACATGAGCTGACCCCAGGGGAGCGCTCCGACGGGGTGGAAGTGGCCGCAACACACAGGCAGTACTTGGCTGCTGATGCTAGTTTAGGATAGCGGTCCCAGTTCTGTGTTTACTTTTGTAAACACTGAGCACGCTCACTGCATGTGATGCTGTCGTGTCCTCTTCTGCACATGCAGGACAATTTTGGGTCGTATGAAGTTCACACAGCAGATCACATACAAGTCGCATTTGATTGGAAATGTGAATGAACTCACAAAAAAATTGGATTTCACAAAAAAATCCGAATTGAGCATCAAGTCCTGCAGTCTGAACGTAACCAATCTGTGGGATTGTTCAGTCAGATAATACGCCGTTATCCTGATTGGTGACATAAAATGTCATGTCGGAGTCAGAATCCAAGGCTGTTGGTATGTTAAGGCTGTTTTTTATGTTCGTTTTTCCTAAAAACCTGTCGGATAGCAAGGTTTTGGATTGTTAAGGGTCGGATTATCGAGTCACGACTGTATTTGATCTGACTGCGATCATTTTGTATAATCATTTCCACTTATCTGTATATAAACAGCTGGATGAAGTGAACTATTTTTATGACTTTATCACCATACGTGCCCCTTCTTCTGCTTTGGTTTAATGGCACGAAGTGTTCATCTTGTCGCTTCACTTCTTGTCTTGCATTTTTATGAGAATCTATTGACATTAAGACATGTGTTTCGCTGCAAAGCCAAACACCAAAGCACCGCTGTGGGCACATTTGGTTTTAGGCCAAATGAAAAATGACAGCCTGAGAACTCGGAGGAGGCAGTTTGCAGCACAAAGGTTGCATTCAAAGGCACTAATAGTCATCATCTTAAACTAACAGAGGCTTCAAATGATGAGAAGATCACAAAAAATACAAACAATGAAATCATTAATTGCAATGAATTCTACAATTAATCATCAACTTAAATTTTGTGATCAAGGCAGCTGTATGTTTCTCTTCATCCTTCACCGCTGTTCAAGCGTAAATAAAAGATGAGCTCACAGCAGGACAGTGAGGGTTGTTTTTGCTTTTGTTGTTGTAACTACTGCAACTTTATTTTGTTTCTGTCTACCACCCGTCCATAGCCGTGGATGGATTGAAATGATGAAAGGATAAAAATTGGTTTTCGAAAACCTGCTGGCAAACAAGTTAAATGCACCCTCCACTGTCAAAATGAACAGAATTTGGCCTCATTTAAACTTTTAAACGAGGTTGTTTGTCAGATTTTCCAAGCTTGTTCCTGGTTTCTTGTCATATTTGCTGTCTTTGAGAGATGTCTGTAATTTTTTTTGGTAAAATCCCTTGATAAAAATCAAACAAGGTCAGTGTTTGAGATTCAAATTTTGCCCTTTCGACAGTCTAAGGAAAACTCGCCCCTCTGATTTGCCTTTTCCTGATCACAGCTGAGCACTGGATCTGTTTACCTTGGCAGAACAAGCTGCCTTCTGTTTTCCGAGAGCTAATTGTTGTGGCATCTCTGTGTCGGGTGCTGGTTGGGAAGCGGAAGCCAAACTGGCCATTTCCTAGAACGTGTCGCTGTGACTCGTGTTCGTTTGACTGCAAATATAGCTGCCTTTTAATCGAATTATTTTAATGCGTTCGTGCATTGCCTCTTTACAACCGCCATGCGACAAATGAAATAATAGGAGCTTTTGATTCAGAGGGTTTAGTAGCTGCTTGCTATGAGAGATGGAGTTGCTGCTTGCTGTACATCATGATTTTACTGTGATAAAATCTGTAAATGAAAACTACACTTTTAGGAGCACAGAATGATTTTTTTTCTTAACGACAGTGGATCCCAAGTGACATCTGGTTTTATGTCTGTTTCTGTGGACAAAGTAGTGACATGGGGTCAGCTCCAGTTGTAAGTTTTCGTCCGGCAGCTTTGTTTTCTTTACATACAAAGACGACATGTTCAGTTTGTGTAACCTCTGACACTTGTGTGTTCGTGTGTTTTTGACTGACAGGTGCAGTTTCAGAAGATCCAGCAGCTTCGTTTGTCTCAGTCGAGGGCGCAGTACTACGGAGGCTCTCTGCCCAACGTCAATCAAATCGGCAACACCAGCGCTGAATTTCAGGTGGGAACTCATTACAGTCAGAATATACAGCACCCACACAAAGCACAAATTTAAAATGTATTAACACCTCTCTTGGTAAGCGAAATTAAATACCATGCCTCAGACAGATTTTACAGTTTCACTGGACACTCTATTCCAAATTCATTTCCATAGAATTTACTTATAGTCCAGGAGAAAGCATTATTCCTGCTTGGAAGACCGGCCTTTTGATTTTTTTTATTATTCCAGGGTTAGTGCAGTAAATTGAATCATATGTAAAGCATTATGTGCCACCCTGCCTGCTTTCTTAGTGTCATTTTGTCTGTGTTTGTTAGTTGGTTTCAAACCAAAAACATCACTGCTTTCAATAAAGACAAGCATTAGTGGTTTCTTTAGGTGCCAGTATACAATTTTACACAAACTTATCAGACGCCAAAACGCTGCATACACATGGTGTTAAGGGCGGGAAATCTGTCCGAAAGAACTTTTTGAGGCCGTCTGCATCACAACTCTTCTCACAGATTTATCGGGATCTTAAGGTCCAACTTGCAAATCTTTACATCCTGTTTTTGCTCTGAAGTGGTGATTCGTATTTCCGTCGCTTTGGCACTTTCCCCACTCCATAAGACTAACTGGGTAATCTTAATTGACCGATAAAGAGCTCCTGCCAGTCACCAAATAACTTCTTTACTCCGGAGAAAGACGTAAACATGATTCCAGATGTTTTTATGCTGCACAAATACCCAGTAGTTAAACTCAGAGAAAGGTAACATGAGAGCTGAGTCCTCTTTAAGACATTTATGGATCAACATTATACCTCAACGTACTGCCAGACGTTAGAAAATGACTACTGTCGAATGTGCAGCCTCAACTAAACCAGCATTTTACAACAATGATAGCCTTAGCAGGAATGACGGCATAAAATGTGCTACACTTTACATTGAGCTAAATCATTTGTCAGATTTTTTAACGTATAAAGCTTGAACGCTATGAACCACAACAATACCTTGAATACAGGGTAAATACCTGACATCATGTCTAAATTCTGCAAAAGTAACCACCGTGCCATGAATTAATCAAGGAATTGAATGAGGACAAGGCACGGGAGACAGAGCTTACCTAATCAACTCACACAACTAGCATAAACTGCAATAATCTACATTCATAGTCTGCACAGTCTCTGATAAGAAGAATTCACAACAAAATCAGTTGGAGTAAGAAAGTCTGGACAGTACTGTTGTTTATTCGTGTAATGACATCGTCTGTACGATTCCTCTGAACACGAGATCACACGTTACATTAAGACTGTCGGCGATATGACATCGTGAGATCTCCCACTTCTATACTATGTTAGTTCATTTTTCAAATCTGCAAAGTTGTGGCTGCTCCTTTCCTCCACTGTCCTGACGATCATGAAGTAAACTGGCTGTTCTTATGAAGTAATTTATCAGGAATGTGCACGTGTCTCTGTGATGTCCCATTGTGTTGCAGCAAAAGTTGAGCCAGGTTCGACACTTACTGGACAGGCCTGGCTGGGTTTTTTTTTGTTTTTTTAATCTTATGTTATTAAATTTTGGATGAAGCCTTCTGCAGCAGCACCACAGCTGTATCATTGCAGCATTGCTGTTCAAGTAAATGAGGAGGCGGCATTTTTTCTCACCGCGCTAATGTCAATCTGAACACGGCCATAAGATGTACTGATGTGGAAATCGGTGGAGTCTATTCAGTGTGACTGCTTTTCTTCAAGCAAAAGGATGTAAAACCAAACATGGATGTTTTCTTTAAAACTCTGCTTACCTTGAGATTACAATCTGCCAAATTCAAGGTCTTGATCTCTCTTAGGAGTTTTTCAAGGCTAATTGTGTCTGACCCCCACTTCTGATGTGCTGTAAAAACAGCAAAACAGTGTACTGGACCTTCAGAAGTGCAAACAAGCTGCTCCTGAGAGTGTTAAATAATTCAGACGAGTTTCTACAGACTGCAAAAAAAATAAAAAAAGATGGAATAAAATATCAATGCAGTGGTTCTCAGCTACGCTTCAAGCAGTTCACTGCTGTCTGCGATCTAACAGAGCTTCTCTGTCGCACTGGGCCCTGTATCTGTGTCAGCTCTCCAAGGAGTGCTGGGATACAGAAGGTCCAGGTAAAGGTGCCCTTGTTACTGGAAAGAATAGCCCTTTGAGGCAGAGCAGCCATCGCAACACTGTGCCCACGTCCAGAAATCAATCCCCACGCTGAGGGAGAAAGCTCCCCTCGCTCATAGAGTCCATTCAGCCTCTCTTTTGGGAACAAAACTCGACAAACTAATTGGCTTCTAGATTCCACTCGATTGTAATTTAACTAAATGAGTGCAGCATACTTAATGCAGTACTCTCTAAAGCTTGTAAAGAGCTTATTAAAACAGACCGAAATCACTTTACTCAAAGCCTCAACATGCAGTTTAGATTCTGTGCGAGTCATGATCAGCTTTCATATGTGGATCATGTACAGAGAAACGACAGCTTGAACCACACTGCACATCTGACCAAGTATTGGGACTTTGAAAGAATTCTTTTCAATTTGTACAAGAAGTATACCAGATATAATTATTATTTTCTGCAAACCAGTGCTGCATGCTAAAATGTGCACCTTCTACTCATGGAACTGTGCAATATTAATGTTCTTGTATGTATGAAGTGTGCAATACCATTATTTTCCACATTCAGAGGAATCTGTGCAGAATCTGAATCTCTCCATATGAAAGAATCTGTACAGCAGCAACAGTGCTTATGTATACTTCTCATTAATTCTTAATTTTTCAGCTGATATCCACACATTTTAGCGTTATTCCCTTTGCTACTGCAACACTGCAAGTTTCCCCCACTTTGGGATTAATAAAGTCTTATTTTATCTTATCTTGTCTTAAATTCACTCTATGGCTGCAGAACTGATATAATATGATTCACCGTCATGATTTTGGTTAATTGACATGATCAAATGCGATTTTGACAATAAAAAATACTTCCTCCACTCACTGAAAACTCCACTTACAGGAATGAACTCGATAAAATCACTTGTTATAATTTGGGTAGATCAGATGTTAGAACTATCTGTTTCAACTCTTAACAAAGTCATTTTTGGTCACACTCCTGTCTTGACACTAACAGACTGGAGACTAGAAGCTTCTCTGTGCATACTCACCTAGCTAACACCTATCATAGCCTGCATGTGAGGCATTCAGGGAACATCTGTAAATTGTGGTGTCTCTAGATAAGCAGATGTTCAGCATCATAGGTGTTTTTTCAGATTTGCTAAATTTAGGGGAATATTGTTTTGAGACTTATTTTGATGCAAAAATTTGTTCATTTGGAAGAATTTAGCACAACGTTAAAGGGTTAAAAATCAAAGAGTAATCTCACTATTGCTCAAAAATAATTGTGATTATCATTTTGGCCATAATTGAGCCGTCCTCATTCCTTCTGACGGGTCAAAGCAGTGCTCCAATGTAATTATCGTTATTGCTGTAATGCAGTAATGTGGCATTTCAGTGGCATTTTTGATTAAAGTAGTTTCCAAGAATAAACTCCTGTGAGAATGTTTAATTAGACCTTTGTGTCTTGACAGAAATGACAGAAGCCATTTGTGTTTGAAGAGTCAGCCAAACCTAAAAAGAAACTAAAAATCTAGCATTCATTGAATGAATGAGCATTTCAAGTGAACAATACAATTGCTCACCGTGTCAGATGCCCTTTTCCTCTCCTCCTGCCCACCTTTGGGAAATCACGTGTCTGATGTAAACTGTCTCTACCGCAGGGCGGCTTCCCTTCAGGGTTGGACTCAGTCAGAGGGACCCGCCACCATGGACTGGTCGAGAGGGTCCACAGGGATCGCAACCGCATCAACTCTCCCCACCGCCGACCCATCGACAAGCACGGGCGGCAGATATCCTTCCGACTGTCTTAACAGTAGGAGATCTCTAAAGCACGTTTCTGTGTGATGCGGATGTTGTCGTCATCGTAAAAGGTCAAACGGGCAACGTGGGAGTAGGCGTTGTGGCTTCCAGGTGGTTGCTCTCATTGTAGTTTTTTTATTTATTTATTTTTTTAATGGCGGTTTGTGTTTATGGTTTGGTTTCACATGTGACGACACTCAGCAGTGTAGGCAGCTGTTTTCTAGCCTCGGGAACAGAGTTAGTCATTATGCTAATCTGAAATGTGACGCAGAGACAGTGCGCTTTACTTCTGCCTAATGGACATTGACATTAGGAAATTCTCAGCATACTCCGAATGCACACCGATATTGTGAGTGCATGCATATATTTGCATGCATGTCTATCAGCAGATGCAGGAGAGTCTAATTGTTTTAATGGCGGCAGAGCAGTGAATGATTTCGCTTTGACTCTTAGCTAAACCCTTCATTTTCTCACAGTTGGATTGAGTGAGAGCAGAAACATCTTTTATTCTGCTACATCGTGGTTAATATTTTACTGGATCTACAGTTACATAATTCAGAGATTTTATAGGTCAGATTGCATTATATCCAAAAGTTTCTAAAAAACTTCTGGACATGGTCTAACTTGAAAATACATTTATCCGCAGTGTGCCAAGGCTAAACCTTAATCAGGCAAATGATTTGGGAAAAGGAGAAGCTATCTTAAGTAGGAAGTAGCTGTAACGCCGCAACCAATCAACATTCTGCACATAGTGTAGGAAGAATTAGAAAACATCTTTACACCGAATGACAACTTTTAATAACACACAAAAATCGGAATCATGAATATATCTCAAGAACTGTAGACAGACTGGGTAAATCCCAGGATATGAATGCTTTACAAGATTCTCAGAAAACAGAGACTTGTTGAGTATCCACTGAATCATTCACTTCCCATTAATGTCTATGTAAGCGGCCAAGCTATTCATTAAGATGGTGTCGTGATGCATTTCAAAAGACTGGACGTCGTGTTGCTGCTCCTTATTCATGTAAAGTTGAAGTCTTGGCTACATTAGGCGAACCAGTGCAAGCTGGACACTTCTGAAAAACTTATAAACTAATCGTTGGTAATCTTTAATGAAGACGGGTTCAGCAGCTGTCTCCCCTCAAATGTTTCCAGAAACTTTTTCACAACATAAGTTCCAAACGAGTCACCGTGCAGGTCTGGTTTGAAATGTGGGAGCAGAGAGTCCAGTAGGGAAACAGTTGTCCCATCAGGTGCAGCCAGTGTTTGCTTGGCTGTAGGAGGGTGAATCCTGTGTTGGCTTCCTGTTGATGAGTGTCAAGATCGCCTAATCGTACGCCCACGTAGCGTCTTAACGTTAGGGAGGAGCGCTTTCCCTTGCATCTAAAACCACTGCTGCAGACGGTTGCAATTGTAGATGAACCTGCGATCTCGAGGAAGAAATTCCACAGAATCCACAAATTTAACAGATGACATTAAACATGGCAAAGAGGCAAGAAAAGAGTACAATATATGAATGCAGTTCGCTTCTAAGCCCCTAGAATCCATGCAGCATTAATGTACACAATGAACACAATCAACAGGTCACTTTGGTGAATGACCTGATGAGGTTCATTTACAAGCTTAGCAGGATTTTGAACTAACTCCAAGTGAACGCTCAGGAACCTTTAAAAACAAAGTCATGTTGGCGATCTCCAGCGAATTCAAAGCTGTGAAAATGCAACGGTGTTCCCAGACAGTCTGTTTCTCCTGCACCAAAACTAATGGAACAGACCTGGACGGCTTTTGAAGTACGACCAATGAGAATTTGTTTTGGACCAGTGGACATAGAAACTAGAGAATTGGAGATTCATCACAGCTGTATGTGTTGTTCATATAGATGATCAACCAGTGTTTGAATGATTAGCAAATATTTTAAATTCTCATGTAACCTTCATATACCGTCCTGAAAATTCAACATTCATGTCCTACTAGCTGCAAGTTGATTTAAGAACCTTGACAATCACTGTGTTTGATTTGGAGTGTAGCGATGAAGGATCCTCGTGTTTTCCAAACCGTACAAGTGTCTAATTATTCTGAATGACACCATAATGTGTGCTGTCCCTGTTGTAGCTCGAGACATGATTACACAAAAGCAATTAGACTTGCTGTGCGATGCCTCTTCATACTGCATCGACATTATTGTTTAATTAGTCCTTTTATTCTTTGCTTCCCCTCCTCCTCGTTTAGTTTTTTTACATAGTAGGTCGTGAAGAGATACAGGAAGAATTGTGAAACAGAGGGGAAGACATGCATTTCATTCCTTGATCTGGATTCACACCCAATATGTTGCATTTACATGAAACACCACTTTGCCCACTGATCTATCAGCACGCCCCCAACGCAGAGCGTTTTAATAAACAGATCTGTGTTTTTCTGTGCCTCCGGGACAGCAGTGATTCAGCGACCTGTCACTATGGTGTGTGATAGCTGGATAGGAGTTGGTCCTGTGTCCCAGCATGTGATGTCACACCAGTGTATATTTCCGTGGAGAACAATCAGAACAGATGCATAATGTAATGGTCTTTAGGGTGTAGTGCCTGTTGAGGAAAACAAATTCACAGTTTCCAGCAGTGACATCATTGCTGCTTGTTTCTACAGTCATGTGTGTTTTTCATATGTTGGCAGGGCCGTTGTGTCCAATAGAAAGGGATGACCTACATTGAGGGGGATGTTTGCTTTAATTTTTAGCAAAGTTGAGTCAATATAGCAGAACTCTAAACACACTTGACTGCTTCAGAGAGTTTCTGATTGAACAGGAATGTAATTTTAATGAATTCAGGCAAATAAGAGCAGGCTCTGGTTGACTGTGTTGAGGCACTTTTTTTTTTTTAAAGAGGCCTGACCTTGTTAGTATCATAACAAGCAGTCGGTTCATTTGTAGTTGGGCGGATGGTGTCAGCTCCACACGTGTGCCTACTGTACGTTCATGTGTTTTGTACATGTATGTCTGGTCAACATGTGCAGGTGAAAGAGGCTGTTGGGGCCAAAATAAACAGGATTGCCCAGTCAGCTCTTGGTCACGAGGTTTATCTCTGAGTGGGCATCTTTTCTGCAAAACATGACAAAGATAAACACTGGTAGCTGGCGTGCACCTTTCTCTGTTCTGTACATTGAGTGTATAAAAGGATCAATGAAGCCTCCGTGACGTGGCCCATAGGTTTCCTGGGTTTCCTGAAGAGCAGATTTGAGCTCTGCGGTGGCTCCAGCTGTCACCGTGTTGGCAGGGCCGACTCTTTCTAACTCCCGGCTAATCCAAAATGACTAAAGAGGTAGAGATGGAGTGGAGCTGAAGTGAGCCATGCAAATATCTCTGGGCCAGTGAGCGGCCTGTGATGGCACCAGCCTGTCTTGCAAAACAAACGCACTCCTAATTATGCATAACTATAAGAATTTGTGTAATTTAAACAGATGAGTTACATTAAAATCCATCTTCTGTATCGTTGTTGTGAGCAGGAGAATTATCTATAGAGTCCAAAACCTTCTTTTGTACCAGGCTGTAAACATGTTTATTTCTGCCTCAAAGATGGACGTTTTAACATGGGGGTCTGTGAGGAATGACTTGTTTTTACAACCAGCCTCAAGTGGCCTTTTAAGGAACTGCAAGTTTTGGCACGTAACATTGGTTTAGTTTTTCAGACCCATAGGTTGCTGCTTGGTTCGGTGTAGAAAACTGGAAGGTCCCTCTGAGAGGACATCCTCTGCCAGGCCAAATGTCCTAACTTGCAATTTTTATCATTGTTTAAAACATTGATCCACATCTGTGTCAAAGTTTGTTGGATTTTTTTTTGTTTGCTCGTGCTCCACTTCCATCCAGTTTCATTAAATTCGGCACGATAGTTTTTTGCATAATTCTGCTGAGAACACTAAAACTCACCTCTACCTGGGCAGAAAAACCTGGCATTCATGAAGAGTATTTTGCTATGTTTTGACCATTAAAACATTTTATTGTTTATGTGACATCATTTTCATTTACATTTTCCACTTTTATGAGGGTTTTTTGTTCTGTATAAATGACCAAACCTGCTGCAACTCTAAATTTCAATAAAACACTTCAAAATTCTCCCCAAAATTCACAGCTGCCTAACTTAATTAAATACAACTTACATCGAATTGGGTTTGATTACCTTAAAAAAAAGATCAAATGTGTTTGGATATATTGTTGAGGAAACTTGAGCTCTGTAGCTGAACCCTTAGTGTTTCTTTAAAACTATGAAAACCTGTGAAGACCTCAACCAGCTGCTTTTCTAATTCCACACTCCTTCTTTCTTCTTTCAAATATGTAAATGCTAAAAACAACAACAAAACTTCAAAGCAGCCCAGTAAACTTAATCTGATTTTCAATCAGTGACGGCAGTCCAGTCATACGTTCATGTGGCTTTAAGCATAAGGTCTTTATTTTTTCGCCACTATAATGAATTCACAGACGACTATTTCTTGCTCAAAATCTTGTGATCACGTTGTTTTCGCCAACATTTTTTAGAAACAAAACCTCACAGTATTGAAGCCTGGGTTGAAGTTTTAATTGACTATTATTTAATCACATATTTACAAATTTTTCATGGAAATTTTACCAATTTTCAGACTGAACTTTACTTTGGCAAACATGACATGTTGACTCGTGGTTCGTTCAAGGCAAGTTTTAGTTATCAAAGAGATCAATAACCAGAATTTGGAGCTGATATACATCTGCCGTGAACACAAAAGGGTCGTCAAAATTTAATAAAACTGGACCTCCTACAAAAAACTTATTCAAAATGCTTTTGTTATTTATCTTTTCTATGTTTAATTAAAGGAGACATTTTCAACATTTATCCTTCAGCATTGCTTGGCTTTTCTTCGTTACGTAATAAATCAGTTCTTCGGGTGAGATCGTGCTCGAGATCACAAAGCTGCTTCATAGCCAAAGGAGGTACATTTCAGCAACAGTGTTTCTTCTAGAATCAGTGAAAAGATATTAATACTGATAACTGGACAAATATCACATCTGATAATCTGCCAGGCTGATGTTCAGTTGACCCCTAGCAAAGACTACGTTAGAAACACAGAAAAGCGTGTTTATCCTCCTAAGAGTAAAGCACTGTTTTGCACTCGGGCTACAAAACGGGAGAAAAGCGTCGCAAATAGCCGCCTCAGGACAAGCTGGGCTGCTGGCAGGTGTCTAATTGGCCACTTCTGGTCTACTGAGAAACAGTTGAGGCTGGCAGCTGCAAATGGGACCATCACCTACTATGGAGAGCGGTTAAACGATGATGATGATGACAGGGAGCAGCGCAGCCTCATGAAAATGAAAATATGTAGTGCGGTCCGTGACTGCGGCTTACCAATCATGGTGCCAGATTTTCAAAATGGAAATGTGGCCTGTGGCTTCGATGGGCCACAAAAATGGAGGGTTGATTTCTGAATTATATCCTCGTTTTACCGTCACTGCTCACGTTGCTCATTCATTATTTTTTACGTGCTGGACACAAAGGATAGTGCGCCGTGTACGGTGTGTGGGGTTGACTCCGCTGTCGTAGCTGCGAAAAGGCGTCAATCCAGTTTGACTGGATTTTGCTTTCTCTTCTTCTGTGTCCCGAGGAGCCACAATATTGTCCTTTCCACTTGGTTTGTGTACTTTTAAAAAGGGGCTTATCCCATGTTTTGAATGACAGTTGAGCGACAACAGCGACTCCAGTGTCTGTAAATCTGCCTCGCTACTGATAATAACATGTCCAAAGCCGAAACAGATGCTTTGCGGAGCAGTGATTGGCTCTGTGCAGCTCTGCTTTAATTTGTTTTAACACCTCTCCTAAGCAACTGCCCACAGAGGGGACTGTTACCAGAGCAGAAGAGCGTGACTTGCAAACACTAAAAAAGCAACTGTCGGCAAGACCAAACACCACCCTTCTGAAGTCCTGCCCTTCCTCACACAATGCCAGGAACTCTGCATCGGCATTCAGTAGTAAATCAAATAATGCTGTCTTTGTTTCATTAAGTATTTGAGAAGGGCAGCTCTGTAGTTCAGTGCTGTTGAGAAGGCTTCCTTTTGGAGCACATTAAACTTGTTGTTTAACTTTGATTTTCTGCATGTGTGTTCGAGTTGTAGGCAAAACACAGCGTTGTCTCTTTTTATAACCTTCTTAATCCCAAAACTACACATGTGAAGAACATTATTTTCTGTAAAAATTGCAAAAATTACATCATTTGTCAGGTTGTAGAAATTCAAACAAAAAAAAAATGCTTTTTTTGTTGTTGTTTTTTTTCCTTCTGTGTGTCACTCATGGCATCGTAACCTTGTCACACTGCACAAAAGGTGTTTTTGAGTCCTCACTGCTTCTAGCCAAAGTGGTGCTGCTTCCATAGAGGTACAGGATTTATATTGCAGTGAATTTAAAAAAGAAAAAAAACCACCCAGAAATGTCTTGATGTTCAGAGGGTTAACTTTAGAAAGAAAGTCACGGGATGAAGAGATATAGAGGGACTTCTATATTTAGGAGTTTCAAGTCAGATTGGACGTATCTGTCGTATCTGTCACATCTCTCTCTGTGTTGATGTATCTGTGTTTTACCAGTAATCTCCTTAACTACAGTCCACATCGAGAGCTCTCCATACGGAGCGGTGTACCTGTCCCCACCGCCGGACAACAACTGGAGAAGGTGAGTAGCGCCTCGGTCGAGCCGCTGACAGAATGCTTATTGTCTTCTCTTCCTCCTCTAACTAGATTATTTTACAGCAGGAACTGTTTCCTCCTGCCAGCGGGTTTCCTGTATCGAGCTTCTGTGTGCCTACCGCTGTTTTCTTTCTAAATCCAGACGCCGGCCATCTCGATCAAACACAAATCAGAGATGTGAATAATCAGTAGATGCGGAGCTGAGGCAGGGCGATGGGTGGAGTTGTTGGCCTTGATTGTTGCACAAATGTTCCAAGTGTGAGAAAGCTATGTTAGCCCTGGGAAGGCTGCATCTAACTAAAGATGTTTGACAGATAGCCTTTTGCTGTAAAGGTCATGCCCAACAGCGGTCGTCCCACTGTTTGGGGATTTTATGTTGTCGCTGCCCTGTGGTGCACAATCTCCACCTTACCTGAAATTCAATCTCAGTGTCTGCTGAAAAACAATGCAACAAAGACTGGCTGGCCTTGACGTGAAGATCTCTTTTTTTTTTCCAGCTCTGATCGCGCCTACGTCGAGCAGGCAGTGTATTGGTAGACAGCTTTTCCTCAGTGTTTACAAGGGAGTGAATTATGGGCCTGTGATAAAAAGCTCAGCCAAGCTCCTCCCCACTCACTCTCTTCCAGTCTTGCTCCGTCTCCACATTTGTGTTTTGTGTGCTGGCTTGGCCGTCCGCCAGTCACCCAGCCTCAGCTCCTTCCACAGCAGCGCCACAGACGCTGGCCGGGCCCAGCGCTGAGCGTACTATAACAGCTTGTACTGTAGAAGTGAATAAGGCCCACGCCCTCTCGTCATTGTTGACAGCACAAAACAGGTTGGCTGACAAACGTCCTCGCGGAGCAACCAGACGTCAGTGTTCTCGGAGTGGGTGTGTTTCTCGGGGAGCCATGTGGCACAAAGCGCTGAAAGCAGACTCTCACGTTTAATTTAAGCGGCGCTGCCTTGATCCAGAATGTGTTTCTGAATGAAGGATTGAGCATCAAGCGGTCTAAAGTTAAACAGGAGTATTCTGTCATGAAGGCACGTGCAGGCTTGGCTGGTTGACCTCGTGTACGTCATCTGTGCTGATCGTCTGAATTGATTAGAGGAATCTTTCTGGAGTGTTACTCGCTTTTGTTGCAGGCTATAAAGTGATGTCAGCAGCAGCTAATGGAAAAACTATGTTTTTTTCATCACTGTGCATTGTTTTTGTGGAAACACAATTCTCATACATAGTCTGCATGTATACTGCAATCTTCATACCTTTGGAGTTGTGAAAATGACTTTGTTCAACCCTGCTAAATTGTAGTTTATCTCTACCTTATGCTACTTGTCCTCCTCCCTCCCGTTGATTATTGCTTCTCTTCCACCAGCCATGCCCCTCTGAATATGATTGGCATCGGCTCCGTCAAGTCTCTGCAGGCCAGATCTATCCTCCTGCTCCAACTTGCAAGCAGATTGTTGTCACAGTGTGCAACAGGGATAAACTTCCCCCTCAGCAGTGGATTTTGGCCCACCTCACTGTCACAGGCACATATTCATAACACTGTACACAATTTCCAAATAATTCTTATGCCAGTTTGAAGCAAACTTTTGAAATGTTGCAAAATAACGAAGAAAAGGGAAAATTTGAATTAGGCTGGTTTCGATTAACTGCTATAGACTGAATGCACTGGGCTGCATGGTGTCGTCAGAAGGTGCCGGCAAAAGCTCCGTTACACATGTGGCTGCCAACCGCTAGTGAACCTCGAGCGAGAAGAAGAAACCAACAAAACCTTGGTCGTCTACGAGAGAAAAAACTTCAATTTGAAAAGTTGTAGTTATTCTTTCATGGCAGCTGGACGTGTTTCATGCTGTCCACAGGCGAAGATAATAAAAGAAACAGCAACTGTTCATCAGTCATGTGAGGTGAATGTTTGTGATGTCAGAAGTTCATTTACAAAGATGTTTTCATCAACCGTCCTTTTTGGAAAAACCCAGAAATGGCCTCGAGTGAGTGTAAAAAGTGTATTCCAAAATTTGGGAGGTTTTTAGCAAAGGTTGCGGTTTCTGTTGATGTTTTTCTAATGCAGTACTGCAGAAGGCACGTTGTAGAAACACAACTGTACATTACCAAACAGACCACCCAGACCTATTTTCTTATGTCAGTCTGTGTGCTTACTGTTGGAAAATGCATACAAATTTGAATCAAAAATGATCTTTTTTGGTTGATTATGTATTGAGCTTGGTTTAGTAGTTTAGTGAGTCGTGTGAGCTCACTTTTAGGACAACGTTGATATTTCTATATGGCTTTTGTCTTTTTGTTTTTTTGAAGATGCAGCCAGGAGAAACATGAGAGCTCCTTGCTACTGTTTGTTATTTCTAAAAGATGACTCGGTGCTGTGATGGAAACAGTTGGCTAATTATCTGTACAGAATTTTAACCTCTTTCAAAAGCTCTTAAAACACGGACTGTATATAAAGAGGGAGGAACACTGAATGACGTCACCTGTAGGTTTCCTGATGAGCGTATTTGAAGCTCAGTAAAACCAAGTTTATTTCTGCTGTAAAGTTTGGTGTTTTGGGGTTCTGTGAGGGATCGACTAGCTTTTGTTGCCAGCCTACAATTAATTTTTTAGCTGCTTGCTTTTAAAGAAAATTAACGTGAGCATTAGATAAAAATCTTTGCGTAGAGCTTGTGTTAAGAAAAGCACAAAGACCTTTAAAACCAGACAAGAATTTCACAGTTTTGACATCCAGTATCTGTCAGAAAAGCAGTTAAGAACACTTGAAGAGAAACTCAGTATAAATATACAATCCAGGATGTCCCCTAATAATTACCTGACGGGGTATACCATCATACTGTATCAAAACAGCAACACAAATCCACAAAACTGTCACTTACTACAAAGTGTGTTATAGATTAACATGTGACAATCATCCAGGTTGATAATTGGTGGACTAATTAAAATATCTAATTTCAATAGTTTGCACGAGTTGTGATTTTTTTATGTAAAAGGAGCAAATTGTGCCCCAGTAATACCAAGCTTCTTTGCCTGATGTAGTCGACTCAGCATTTTTAAATGTTTATGTCACAAATTAGGCCGTGATTAATGACATTACAAAAGCAGCCTTTTGCTTGTTCTGTAAGCTGTCTATGTGGGCAGTATGAATGAACAGTGCATAGAGTAAGCTTGCTTTTGCACAGTCAGAGTTGTGTTTTCACTCTCAGGCTGCAGGAGGAAATTGTAGCTTGAATCAAGACATAACACGCTGTTGGAGGGGAAATGGGAAATCTGTCTGGGCTGAAGTTTTGCCAGATCTGGGAGGCTCTTCTTCCACTCGTGTGCTGTGAAGTGCCATTCAAGAAGATTCTCTTTTGTTAATGTACTGTACATATTTAAAAACCATTCTCCTTTTATGCAAAGAACAGATCACTGGCTACAGTTGAGAACCATCCTTGGAAATGGTCTTAGGCTGTTGTGTTGTTGCAGTGAGAAGCAGAGTCCCTGCTTGTCCGTCTCAGGGGAGAGTGGGGCGGTAAGTGTTTACAACGCCAGCTACATCTGCACTGCATTATCACTAGTCAGTTGTGGAGAAGAGCCACAGAGCTCTTTAACTGTTTCCCTGCTTCAGCTATCATTACAGTAAGCCCTCTCCCAACTCCCAGCATCTCGAGCACAGAGAACCGACACACATCTGTGAGTTTGCACACAACCGCTGAACACTGAACAATGGAAGAGAAAAATGTGCAGTCAGCAGGCATGTTTTAAAATGCACCACTTACTAAAGCAGCCCTGTACAAAAGTTATAAACACTTGAGATGTTTAAATTCTCATTCATTAATTGGGTTAGGCATCGAGAACTGATTCCAAAAAAATCATAAAGTATAATGTCACTCAGTTTTGCTCGCAGCAGTATCAAATAAACTGTGTCCTGCAAACACCCACCGTATGTCTGCTGCTATCTGTCTGCGCCATCATGTGAGTTAAATGATCATCCGTCTTAATAAATGTTGAGTCCAGCATTGTTCTCAGTTGCCCTGCTCAGCTGTTGCTGAGTTGTTCGATTAGCAGGCGAACAGCACAAGTTGTGTGATTGTCACACCTCAATCTAGTACATGCTGTGCTCGAAAACATATTACAAGGATGGGATTGGAGTCTTATTGTTGCATTAAAGAAGCTAAAGTAAACACGAAAATATAAACCAGTAAAGAGACCACTGGCACTGCCATTGTGATTACTGGTTTAGTGTTTCTGCTGGTCACGTTTATTTATAGTAAACTCTACTTTGCACAACTCTGCAGTCAAGAATGCAGGAGGACGTGATGGTAACATTAGATGATTAGGGAACCCTTTATTCCTCTTCTATGACAGTGAACACAACACACAGACTTTGAGTAACTGTTATGCCTTTGGAGGCACATTACTGAAGTAGCTTTACTACGCTTTCGAATAAAACTTTCCTTTGCCCAAGAATCGTAAGGAGCGTGGTGGAGAATAGGGTGGTAAAAGGTCTGCAGTGTACGTAGGACAGAGACAGAAAGTGATTAAGAAAAAAAAACAAAAGTCTACGTCACCACCTTCCTTAAAGGGGATGTGCAGTTAGTTAGTTACTCACTCACTTGTTAAACATATAATACCTATATAATTTTATCTAGAATTCATCATACATCCACCCAACTGGTCGAGGCAGATGGCCGTCCCTCCCTGAGCCTGGTTCTGTCGGAGGTTTTTTTTCCCCTGCGGGGGTTTTCGGTTCCTTCCCACTGTTGCGGACTGCTTTTGGACTGCTGAAGCTTATAGGGAATCCAAATGTTTTGGATTGTTGGGTGTTTCTGTTTCTGCCTTTGTTAAGCGCTATGAGATGACTTGTTTGTTAAGCGCTATGTGATGACTTGTTGTTGTAAATATGCGCTATACAAATAAAATTGAATTGAATTAAGGGTTTTTACCTTGATTAACGGTGATGGGCAGTGATGGAGGACTAAGGCGTCCTTCACTTAGGTTAAAGTATGTAGGCATCGTTCTGTCTCCACTTTACCCTTATCCCAACCAGGTGAGGTGGACGGCTTCCTTCCCTGAGCCTGGTTCTGCCGGAGGTTTTTTCTTCCTCGTAGAGGGCAGTTTTTTTCTCTCCAATGTTGCTCAAAGTGAACCCAAAGGATGCTTGTGATTTGTTGGGTTTGTCTGTATACATTTTGTAAAGTCGTCACCTTACTATGTAAAATGCCTTGAGGTGACATATGTGTTGGTGCTATGTAAATAAAATTACATTTAATGGAATGATTAGAAAGCTGCACTGTTATAGTCAAAATCCAATCAGAACCAGTTTTATTGTGAAGTAGATGTTTACATATGAAGACCTTGCAGCAAATCCAGGGAACTGTAAGTGATAAAAACAGTAATATTACGATGTGCAGTTTATTTACAATGTGCAGGAATGTGCACATTGCAAGTTGTTCGCCTGAGAATGTGCAAATTTACGCAGCATATAAAAGTATATATAAAACATATAAAAGTAATCAGTGCAGAAAAAAGTCTCTGACTGTTACACTATAATGCAGTATGTCATTACATTATTATTACTCCTACATCGATGTAAAACTGCGGTCATGGTGACCCTAAGCACCTGCAACTCAAAGAACTGGATTTCAGGAATTAAGAGGAGGAATTTATTCGCAGAATCATCAAAATACAAAATATGCCCAATCAAATCTATGATGCAATATCCATCAGGGAGGCGCAAACTGAGTTCGTAGCATGACAACACACCCAAACATACAGGCAGCCATAAAGCGACAAAAACAAGAGGTCCTGTGAGAGACAGTTTGGCCTCTGCAAAACCCTGATCATCGAATTACTATGGGATGACATGAAAAGATAGAAAACATCCTAAATCCAAGGACTAATTGAGCAAAGTTCCTCTAAGGAACTGCAAAAGTGTACCTTGGAGAATTTCTGCAGTTTTAAAGAAAATTGGCGTTTGTACCAAATGTTGATTTGATTTCCTTTTTGTGGTTTTCTGAACTTTTGCATGAAGATATACGATACACGTACACATCTGCGAGTTTCTATTAAGATGGCCGATCTCGAGCTTTGTGGCATCAGACCTTGCAGGCAGCGGGCCAGTGCTAAGGGATTGCCAGGCATGACAGAAATGCAGGGGAACGGAGCTGTTCACATAGCCTTTAACCGCTCCACAATCAAGTCTGGCCAACAGATTTTATCATCGTTCTGGATTTTTCAGTTAAAAAAAAAAAAAAAAGTTGTGATTTCCCAACTTTGTCCATCTGCAGTGAGTCTGGCTGTGATTTTTGATATCCACCATCTGTCCTTTTAGAGTTTACACAAGTACCGTGCGTGTTCATAAATGAGGTGTGTTCGTATGCTGGTGTCTGGAAGGAGGAGTTCTTTTAGGGGACCTGAGTACAGCTCTGAGTCCCTTCGGAGACCATCTGCTTCAGGGTCAGAGCCTCGATCCAGTCCCACGCCCTCCATCTCCTCCATTCACCCATCTTTGGCCTGCTGTTCCTGTACCAGCCTCTCTCGGGATGAAATCTCAGACCGAGCTCCCGGGAGACTGCACTACAGAAAGGCTTTCCAGTAGAGACAGCTTACAATTTTTCCACCACTGCCTCTTTGGGAGAAGTCGTGGATTTTTCTTGAAGGCTTTTATCCTCCATGTAGGTAGTCTGATTGCTGCTTTCATATGAAAAAGCCAGTATTTATACTCCCGCTTACCCTAAAATCACATCATGAACTTGGTGCCCTTAAAACTCAGACACTCCAGACTGCTGCTCGGGGAAAAGGAAAAAAAAAACACAACCAGTCTTGGATAAAATTAGACTGGTTTACCCCTTTAAACTATCAATCTCTCCGTTTTTAAACTCACAGCTGAAACAAAATCAACATGTCGCTGTACAAAAGGGATATTTGTTGTGGGATGGGTGGAGTGCAAACACAGCTAACCTGCATTCCAACGCCTACGTCACATATCTAAATATAAGTAAAGGCTGTACACCTCACAGTGTCAAGCGTTTACTTAGCCAGGTAATGTGACATACGCTGAGGTGTTTTAGTTCTTCTGCTTTTGTTTTGACGCTGCTCATCAGTGCATGAAAGGACGGTGTCGTGTCAGAGATGGCCCCCTGTAGTATGATTGGAGACTTACAGGCTGTAATACTAATAAAGCTTCCCAGTAACACCAGTCTCGTTCATCGTGTAATGAATTAAGTGTTTTGGAATTTTAGCATGCTAGTCAGTGGCAAGTCATTTGTGGTAGTTTTGGTTAATCGGTCACACGCACAAAGTAATGATCCCAGCTGACACTGTGATAGGTGAGAATGGAGTGAACACTTACATTCACAGTTTACATCACTTGCATTTCTTTGGACTGTGACAAGAGCATTCAAAGGCCACACGGAAACAACCACCCAGCAAATTCAGACCCAGGACCTTCTTGCTGGAACCACCACCCTCTAATTTATTCGTCTTTAATCAGTTTAACACTCGCAAACCAACAAATGTGTAATTAAAGGCGTTAGGATTGTTAAAGATGTATGGAGGGTGGCAGGAAGGAGCCTTCTGCCCAGGGGCCCTAATGGGTTAATCCAGCTCTGTTGCCCAACGTTTCTATGAGTAACTAGTACGACTGTAGTCAACCAAAGACAATGCCGTTTGAGTGAAATCATACCTGCTCTTCAGTGGAGAAAAACAACTGCACGTTATCTGCAGATGAAATGTGCCACAGTTCATCGATTGCCCTGCCTTGTTAGCGTAGATAAACGCTGAAACAAAAACATTAAAAGCTGGTATTTGCAGCACATTAAACCATTTGAACGTGATTATTTCATGCCAAAATGAAGACTTGTTGAAAGTTTCCCCTTGACTTTTTGGCTATCAGTTTGAAAAACATGCAGTCAGTTAGTTAGTTAGTTTGGAGCCCAGAAAACGTTCAGTAAAGGTTAGATAAGTTAGACCTCGCAGACTCATTTAGGTTTGCCCAGTTTTGGAAATGTGGCAGTGTTTGTAGGTAGTGTGTTCCTCTTGCTGTCAGAAATAATGGATTTCTCCTGATGAAAGCAACACTGACGATTGTCCAGTCAGGTTGGATGAGAGCATATCGACCAATAGACCTTCACTGAGGCCAATGCCCTGTCTCGCAGTTTCAAAGAAAGTTTTCTTGATCTGCACGTGTGTTTCTTCCTGTGGCTTCGCGCTCCCTCTCGAGTTTCATGAAACTGGGTCGGGCAGTTATTGTGTAATCTCCTCGACAGACAAACAACGCTGAAAACATGTCTCAGCTCTCACCTTCGCGTGGGATAATAACATCGTACCCATCAAGTTAATTGCTGAGACCTGTGAATGCTGTAACACTGCAAGAAAAACTTTGTCTCTGCGAAGTGTTCCTCCACGTTAAGCCCTTCAGATAATCTGGCTCAGCAGTTGGCTTGTTTACAAACCTGATTATTTGACTCCTTGTGTTTTCCCTGTCCGACTCCATTCTAGAGACGTCGGTATTGTTTTATCATAAATACAAGAAACGAATGCCAAAACACAGAAATAAGATCCACAATACATGTGTTATTTTAAGCTAAAAAACAACTCTGATGTTTTGTTAGATATATTCTTGTACGCAGGATTGCCAGCAACATAACTGAATAGAGGGTGGTCCAGTCATTTATATGAGGTCTGCTTGAGTTCTCCTGTCGGCCATGTTGCCTTTTCAGAAGACTAGTTGTACCAGTTAAGAGAAAAACAAACTGCTTCTATGTACTTTAAGTCTACGAAAGAGTCAAGACCCCTTTTTGCTGAACGCTTCAGAAAAATCCACTTAGTCACTGTTCCCACTCCATCATTTCAGGCTTTGACAATGACTCTTCACATGGAATTGTTTACGCTGTTTCTCTGTCCGGCCCGCCTTTTCTCTCCCCATTAGATATGGAAGAACAGCTCGCGACGGCTCCTCGGCTGCAGGTTTCTGAACCTGGCCTGCAGTCATTCTTCTCGTTAACACTCCCGTCTTTGTTTCTCGTCTCTTCACTCTGCTTCTAATTTATCCCGTCTTTCCGTTTTTCCCTCAAATAAGTAAAACGGCATTGTGCAGCGTCTTGAGTGTTTTCCAGGGTCTTTCTTCTCTCCACACACGCGCCAATACAAACATGTCATATTTTTAACCAGGATATTTTCTCCTCTTCACCAGCTTATGGAAGGAGCCAGGGGTCTCTCTCTGCTTTCACCCACTAAATTTGTCTGTCGTGCTTTTCCTCTGTCTGTCTTTTGAAGGGAACAGCAGCCATGGACTGAGGAAAAACGGCCTGGGTTTAGATTAATATCACAACTCAACAGGTGACCCTTGACCCCGCCCTTCCCCCCTCTGTGTCTTTCTTTCCCTCGGTCTATCTTTACCGCTTTATCCTTCGCTCGCACAGGCCAACAATTCCGTTCTTTGTCTTTTCGCAATCTCCCCTCGGCTACATAACGTTTCTATCCTCTGCAAATCTCCGCCTGATTTGTAACATCTCAATAATCCTCTTCTTTCTTCCTTTGAAGCGCCGAGATAACGGCACACAGAGTCTCGACTGCAGACCGTTGTGGTCGGTTTATTAGTTGTTTTTTCTCTTTGTAGTTTTTACACTCATCTCTTTCAGTCTGGTATTTCTGAAACATTAATTGTCGTACTAACCCAGCTTCTAGGACTCACGGCTGCTCTGCGGTCTAACATCAAGGCTCCTCATTCACATTTTCTCACTTTCAGCCTTTTTACACCCTTCTCAAAGTGATGTGCTGTTTTTTGAAAAGTTTGTGTTTTTGTTGGACCAATACAGAGAGGAGTTCTGATTACATCCCCAAAAAATGTTGGTTAGAATTTACATGAACAGTTGCCTTGTTTTGAAAAAAGTGATGCGCTTTTGGTAATTTGAGGAGTTTCTTTTGAAAATGTATACTCCAAAAATATTGGGAAATTTGCTTATTTGCTGGATTCAGTTGGACACCAGCACGTCCAAAGTTTAGCTGTGTGAAGGAGCCAACTTTATCACAACATTAGCTAACATTACCTACAAATTCTAATAACGTTATAAAGAAAATGTTTGAATCAAGGATATTCATCGTTTCAAATAATGAGGTTAAAAGTTAACTTAGACACAACATGTAACTGCAGCATTCGCAGCGTGTTTACAGGATGTTGTCAGATTATGTTTCATGATAATCAAGGAAGAACGTTCTCCAAACAACCTTCAAAAAATGCTTTTAAGATGTTATAAAGGCCTCAGATGAGTAAATGTTTCCTGTAAAATGTAATAGTACCAATCGTAGAGCATTTTACCTGCAATATTCTGAGGATGTTTTGAGGGTTTTGTTGAGGTAACGCATTATAAAATGTTCCTGCAGTGTTAAATGATAGTAAAGAAGAACATTCAACATTAGGTAAACGTTTTAAGAATATTTGGAGAATACTGGTCCAACAGCGTTATCACCAAATATTTTTTGAATGTCTTTGGAGAAAGTTATCCTACCTTTGAAAAGGAATGTTTGGAAACTATAAATATAAAAATACATTTCCAACTGAAACGTTGGTGGAACCTTCACAGAATATTGTCAGAACAAAAAAAAAAAATCAAACTCTACATCGAACTATAGAAAACTAAAAACAAAAAGGCTGTTAAAGTCAGTATATCTCTTTATGTTACATTCATGCATATTAATCCCAGATTGTTATTAAAAACGTTTAATTCCACTGCTGATGTAAAAACAAACATCTTTATGAAGTAAAAGGTAAATAAACAAAATGCAAACCTAACCTGTCGTTTAGTGCTGCACAGTTTTTGATGCTAAACATTTTTAAACGTCAGTATTTAGTGCTAACAATGTGAAATACATTAAATGAGGTAGAAAATAGACACATTACCAATAATGGCTATTATTGATAATGATTTAATTACTAATTAGGTTGAAAAAACATTATGTTGTAAATGGGTGTTTAAAAAAAGGTCATTTATTAGTTGTGTGTAGAGAGTCTGGTGCCATGATTATTATCCCGGTGATATATTCCATTATATACGATACTTTTTCTACGTGAGCAGTTGGCATTTTACTGTTTTGCATTTGAAATACAGCGTATAAACTCTGTACACACAATGTTAAGTTTATTTACTCGTTTCCTATTTACATGGCACAATTACATCAGGTTCTTTATCGCCCCAGACTCCTAAATTAGTTATAAAAAGTGTGTGCGATGCAATAAAGTCTGTGGAAGCATCAAACTGAGTCAAACACAAGTGTGATTGCAGCACTTTTCTACAGCGAACCAGAAGGAAAGCAGGGATGACGCATGAAAGAAGCCATTGAGACTTAATGGAGCACAATAAAGAAAGCTCTCAGCTGAAGTGATACAGGCCTCAGCGGTTTGTGTGTTCAAGAGTCTGACACAAGTAGAGGAGAGTGTAAGTGTGTGAATTTACAGCATCACTAAGAAAATCAAATCAATTTGTCTAACAAAATCACAATCTAGTATTTGCAAAGATGGTGCCCTGTTGAAAGGGAAAAGCATCTCTGAGTAGCGCCAAAACTAATTGATGTTTATGTCGCGTTAAGGAGCGAGCGTCCCTCGATTTAGCTGCATCAGTGTAATTAGGGATAACAAATAATACGAGTTGACACAAGGTCTTGGTGGTGATTATTTCATCACAGAGCCAAAGTGTTTTCGTCACAGACTGATAAACATTTGGTTCGGCGCTGTGAGGGTGTTTATGTGTAAGGTCAGTGTGAGCCTGCAGATGAATGCAGCCTGTGTGGAGGCAGCGCAGAGACCGAGTGATTCACTGACCTTACGGCCACAAGAAGCCCTTCTGCCTCTGTCCAAGGTGCTGGAATACTTTGCATAATTTTTCTCTCCCCTCCTACACAGAACCAACTCAGACTCTGCTCTACACACAAGCGCTATGAACCCGAACCCCCAGGACCCGTTCGGCATGAACCAGCAGATGGGTCGAGGTCCCCCGCAGCGCAATGGTGAGGCGAACACGCACACTCAGTCACAGCACGACACGCTCACCTTCAGGGCCGCGACTGACCATCGCTGTCGCTGTCGACGAATCTGTCTCGATTGTTTGATTGATTGTTTGGGCTGTGAATGGTGGCACATGTCTGGCATTCAGGTTATTGTCACAAAGAAGGCACAAAAAAAGAAGAAATGTTCAAATTTAGGAAGTTGGAATCAAACTTTTTTTCAAATAATAGATGATTTATTATTTAGCAGTTGGCACTCACTCACTTTTTAAGAATTTGTCTTCTTCTGACATTTAATTGCTCGATTTAATAGTTGATTTTTAAAGTATTTCCACCCAAGAAAACAGACAGACAGTAATCCAAGCACCCTGTAGTCTTACTTTTGGAATTATTTTCTATATTCAAGCTGCTTTCAGACACTCATATCAGTCTGACTGGCATTTAACAAGTGTTACAACAGCAGAACCCCATTTTTCAAGCTCACTGTGGCCTCCAGAAACAGGAAAGCCAAATCTGGGCAGTAAAATTCAAAAGTCTCTTCTTTGCCCACTGTGCAGAAAGATGTACCCACAGTCTTTCAATTCATGCATTCCCCCATGTAGGGCTGTCATCGTCATAAAGTTTTAGCTGATTATTAAGTGTCACAAAAATATTTGCAGTTTAATAGTCTTTTACTGTTTGTTTTTATGCCAGTATTAGTTCTAGATTAGTGGCATTAACAACCCACGTAGTTGCTGCAAGTCCAACAAATCACCTCCTCCAAGTTATTCGGCTCTCTTTTTTCATTTGGCTTTAAACCAAAATGCGCCCGTAGCAGTGCTGTGTTGTTTGGCTCTGCAGCTGAATCCATGACGTTAATGTCGAAAGATGCACATTGAAACGCAGTCAGTGGTACATTAGAAGTAAAGCACTTCGAGATGAAGCGGTTTTTGCCGTTAAACCACAGCAGGAGAGGAGGCATGAACTGTGGAAACTGACGTGGAAACGGTGATCGACTAAGTTTGGTCAAAGTGTTTTTATACAAGTGAATGGAAGCAATTTTTACAATTATGTGAAATAAATAGTCGGCTAAAATAATAGAAAGTATGAACTGAAAGAACCATGAATTGAGTGACAAAGGAAGTAACTGATGGTGGCGTTTTGTAATGACTGTGACACGACATCAGGTGTGATGTTAAAACTTGAAATATCTGAAATAAATAGTAGTTGCATGTCTTCAGAATATTACTGACATAATTTCACTTTTTCACACAATATCCTTGTTCTAAACCTTGAACCGTCCCTTTGAGAGCAGCTTGTATTGTATTTAAAAGCATGAATACTGCATTAGGTGTTTGCTGTGAAGGCTTTATCGACTTAAGCTCAGTGCAGAAACACAAGAAAAGCATGTTAAATAGTAGTTAGTTCCTTATAATTACGGTAAAATATCCTGTTATTCAGATTTTTTTTGTCTGGCTACACACTGAATTCTAACATTTAATCCTGTTAAATTGTTATAAACCAACTGTTTATTTGCTGTGTCTGTTCGTTTTTGTTGTTTATGCTTTGAAAAATAGCTTCCCTTTTGCATTTAAACTTCTGCTCAAGCTTGATTTTGGGTGAAGTGCAGCTAAACCAGAACAGATTTGGTCTTGCGTGCGATATTGTAATCAAAAACTTGCAGTGTACTTTCTTGGAGTGAGTGTGAATGACCACGAGGAGCAGAGCTGACGGGAACTATTAGCATATGAAAAAAGTAGGTGGAATATTAACAGTGTGACACACAGCGCCGACAAGGACAGGAAACAGCCAAGTGAGACTAATTAGGATCCACTTGTGTATTGAGACATGGCCTGTAGCGCTCATTCAGTGAATTATACTTGAGAGCAGAAACCAGATCACCGCAGCTCAGACATTATGTGCTTTTAAGCTCCTCGTCCTCGGCCACTCGCAGTATGCAGGCTGCTCTATGCTCGGCCCATGTCATTGTAATCATGCTAGTTTATGGTGTTTGTGTTTCTGCTCCTCTGGTCATTCATTAACAGAGAACACAGTCCATCCAGCCAGCTGCTCTTCGCTGCCGTGAGCCACTCTGGGCTCAGTTACACAAACCGCCATTCATCTTTGTTGGTTTACAAAGTTCTGTGTATACTTTTGTAACTGGGCCAAAGACAGGGATTGAACTCCAAGTCAAAGAATCGATCTTCCTCCCTCTGTTCTCGCTCTTCATCCCTTCGCTTTCCTCTGATCTCAGCCCTGATGAAGTGAGAAGTTCTCCTCCGGTCGATTTCTACTCCTCGTGTTCAAATAGGATATTATCTGAAGATCTGGATGAGTTTAGAATACAAACATTCAAAGATAGATGAGTCACAAATCGCTGTGTGTGTGTGTGTGTGTGAGATGAACACCAGTCGGTGATTTCAGGTATTTTGTGTTTGTGATTGTCTCAGAACTCTTGTGTAGGATGTAGTTAACAATTATTCTTGATTGATCGTTTAGTTCTCTACATTGTTATGTCCAATTGACTATTCAAAATCCACAGGTTTCCAAGAACAGATGACATTCAAATCCAAACCTGCAGTGTGGAGCTTTTGTCTCCCCCTTTTGGCAGTGAAAGTAATTACACAAACAATGTTAATGCACGCTCATGATGTATGCCACAGCCTCTTTCGTTTTTAGACCCTAATCCTTCCTCCAAGTGCTGAGTTTCACTTTTATCTGGATGATCAGAAGCCTTTTCTTGGACTCATCTCAAGTTCACTGCACTTCTAGTTACTGCAGTCGACTCTCCGTCTTCACGCTCTGCAGACTGATCAGTGCTGGTTTGCTCAGCCATGGTTAGAAATAGACGGAACACAAAAAGATTTTTGTTCAATACAAAACAGTGACAAAGCCATAAATCATAATCAAGTTAAAAAAAAAAAAACAAGTTAAAAAAAAAAAAAAAAACAGTTAGCTTTGTTTGGTTGTTTAGTTTTCAAGAAATGAAAAGAACTGGAATCAATTTGTGCAACATTTTAGTGCCCACAGATGTTACCACGACTGGAAAAAAAAACATTTTAAGAGACTTTAAGCACAGGGATTTTAAGCTTATGTTAGGTTAATTTTCTGACAGAACTGCAGGTTTCACATGATTAGTTTAAGAAGTGTCCGAAAGTCAAAGATCCAACAGTTTTTCCGGTTTCTACATTTTGTTGCGAATATAATTGGTGTAACTGTGGTTTAAAAAAAAAAGAAAAGAAAATTCTTATTTATTTTTTTAATATGTAATTTGCCTTTTAAACCTGTCAGTAGGTTTTGGGGTTCAGAAAGTTAAACTGTTCAGAGAAAATATCCATATTAGCGTTGACAACACCTCAAAAAGCCTCCTGTGAGCTCATTACGGTTTTAATGTAATAATCATTCATTTATATGTTTAAGTCCTCAACCTGAAGACGCTGCAACTTCTGAACTTTGCCAGAAAAAAAAATATGCAAATGATCAGTCAGTTGAATAGTTCCGAGCGGTTTTCTATCAGTCTTCTAATCAAACCACTAATGGTTTCAGCTCCACTCTTGTGTGAAGCCTCATTCAGGGCAGAGATGGCAGACATATGATCGGGGTATTATAGTCAACTGTGTATGTAAGGAGGTAATTATATTTCCCCAAAGAGGAGCTGAGCTGAGCATGTAGTATATACAGCCTCTCGCATAGCCGGCTGTATATAGTCCAGCAGCACATGCTAGACATTTCTGTACAGGCTGTATATCATTTCCTCTAAAAGAAGACGCGACACAAACAAACGTGGTTCGTGCTGGTGAATGAGCAGCGCTGCCTCACGGCCCCGTGCATCAGCGCAGAGAGCTGCGATGCCCCAGGGCCTCGTTGACACCTCTCAAGGTTTCAGCGGGTTCTGAGTGGTGTTAAGCCCTGGCTGATTAAAGAAGCATCTAACCAGGAATTACAGCTATGAGTCACACTGCCGGGTGGAAACACTTAGAGGAGTTCTGCGGCACTGTCTTGCAGTGAGATTTCTTCTCTGCCAGTTGTTGTCCGTGGAAAAGCAGCAGCAGCAGCAGCCTCAGTCAGTGGAGATCTAACGTTACCTCTGCAGCTGACAGGGCTCTGATTGCTGGTATGCTCCAGCAGCAGCAGACGGTGATATTTTTTCTTAATCCTGAGCATTCGCAGCTCCCATATTGAGTGCATTGCACAGCGTGATCCTGCCAGGGACACAAGCCAGCCATTTTCCATCCCAGTTGTCCTGTTTCCGTCTTAGCTGCGACAGTGAGCTGCAGCGACTAGACACCTTTGAAGGGGAAATGTAACGATGCCAAGCTGCTGTATCGCCTCATTGTCCAGTCTGATCCAGCAGCCGAGGAGCTGCCTCTCACAATGAATGGGCCTCAGAGAGAGTGACAGCATGGAGGGAGAGGGAATGGGTGGGCAGCCGATCAAAGGGTAGTGTAAAGGAAGCTCAGCTCAAGTTTGAGCGATGAGGAGACTTGAAGGAGACATCAAGAGGAACACAAAATATTTTCCTAATATGCAACAGAAGTGTTGCACAGGAAGCGTGGTGGCGAACAGAGCAGTCAGGCACAGGAAAAGTTAAAAGAGAAGGCATGTGTGTCTATCATCAAGTCTGCAGCGAGGAAGAGAAAGCCTCTTTGTGACACAACAAACACAATGGCCCTCTCTTCGTTCCTCGTCAGTCTTTGAAACCCCCCCACCCAACTTCTATTTTCCCTTTCCTCATTTCTGTGATTAATAACACGATGCCAGATGCCCAGCTGTTGTGTTTATGAAACTGCGCAGTAATTGCAGAGGGCCTGTTCCTGTCAGAGGGGCTGCTTATTGTGCCAGACATGCTGGGATTATTCAAACAGCTGGTTAACGTTGAACATCCTCTAATGTTCCTCTGTTCTTGTTTTTGTGTCTTTGTTTATTTCTTCATCGATCATCCCTCCCCCTCTCCTGTTTGTTTGTTTCCCATGGAGGCTGGCATGCAGCTAGCGTCAACGAGGCAGAGGTGGACGGCTCCGGAGACGGTGAGTTGCACTTTGTTCCAGTAATCGAACTATAGTTAACATTCTCTGTAGGAAAAATGGATAAATGAAAGTCTCTCCATTCCTTTGCAGTCTTCTCCTTCCCCGCCCTGCCTAACGAGGAGAATCTAATAGGTGTCAGTAAGCCCCTTCCCAAGCAGCTGTGGGAGGCCAAGAAGGTGAGATGTTGCGAATTTCTTACATCATTGACTCTTTCTGTAATGTTTGACGCAGTTTCAGTCGGCTTTGTCTTTTCTTCTGCTATCTGTGTGCTACGTTTTCTTCACGATGGGAAACAACAATAAACCTTTACGGTGCAACCTACTGGTTACATTTTAAATTTTGCTGAGCATTCAGATCGTGCAGTCAGGCAACCTTTTTTTGCGCTGAATGATCCATTTTAATCAGTGTTTGTCTCCCTGCATGCAAATGTTCCACCACAGCAATGCCATCACCAGTATTTCCAGTCAACATTGACAACCAGCGCTTACTGCAACTGTGATTGTTTTAAAGAAATACAGACAAGCCAGGTCATTCCTCCCCCCCATAGCAAAGTCATACTATGGTGCAGCCAGACCATTAGGTTCTACAGGATGAGCTAGCTAAGGGAGACTAGACACAGGTTATCATCTGTATACGGGGTGATCAGAAAGTTCAGGGACTGTGCCGATAAAAATGCTGCAAACTCCTGTATTGCTCCCTGGAAGACCCGTTGTGTGAACATATCAAGTATCATTTGCATTTAATGCTGAGTCTCACTTTGACTCTTTGACTGCAGTTTAATTTTGGGTAAAGAAAAAAGTCACAAGGAGCCAAATCTGGCAAGCAAAGAAGGTGGGGAGCAACAAGTGTATAATCACCGCACTGTGACTGGGCGCCCAGTGCTTCGGGGCCCCGAAAGGCCGTCAGGTTTTGCACAGAACGTTTTCCCTCAGACGCCTCAGGACGCTGCAGTAGATTCTGCCTTGACAGTCCAACATTAGCAAACGAATTCCTGGCACCGGACCACGTGAATGTTGAAGAACACAACAAGCTTGCTCTTTGTGTGATGCTGTCCTGAAGCCCCAGAACCACCTCTGGTCAGCAGTGATGAGCTTCCACCTGAGGCGCTGGAACATCCAGTTGCTGACTGACACAGAACGTGATGTTTGCCTTCTGGTCTATTTCGAGCTGCATAGAGAAATCGTAAATGTGGTCAAAAAAATATGTGTAAGACAAGTCCTGCTGTTGATTGTGTCATGCCATCTCCTGACATGTGACAGTTACCACACAGAAACCATGAACAGTAATTTTATATCACCCCTGGTGTTCAATGAATTAAAGCTGATGTTGTACTGATGCTAAAACAGTCAAAATGCGTGAGAGAGGATCAGATGCACATTTATTCTTATTGCAATGTATTTTGTGCCGCATTATCCTCCTCTGCTACTGTTACTGCTTTCAAAATCCCCTTTGCTTCATGAAGCAACAAAAACAATAACCTCAGATTGCCAAGTTGTGATGAAGAATTGGATCGTGCAACAAGACAGACCTGCTTGAATAGAATATGGTCCAAATATTTACTGTCTAACGAGAATGTTTTTAAGCGTGTGGTTATGAAGAAGGTTTCATTTTCAAAGCGATTTCCCCTCATAGCACTGTTTTGCAGAGGCACCATTGCTGCATCCTGGGCTCAGCGCTTCTCAAGACAACTGTGATTGTTTTAAAGATAGTGGGTGCAGTCAGACCATTCTGCAGCTCTCAAACAGCACTGCGGAGGCTATGCATGACCGTCATAACACCTTAAATTCCTGCCATTACTTGACAGAGACGTGTCAGCGTAGATGTTGAACCAGTCTTTCCTGCTTGTCCATAAACCCACAGAGTGGGCCTGAAACTAATTTATTGAATCAGGAATGTTAGCAACTGTGGCGTTCAAAGCACAAAGGAAGAGATTGTACTAGAAAATTAAGAAATTTTTCATGCATGTCTTTTCATTCAGGCCTTATGAGGTGTCCTGGACAAAAAGGCAGTTGTCTTCAGCAGTTGTCAAGCCGGATGTTTGTTTTTGTAGCTGACAATGTCTGAATCTAGACGAGATTGAAGAAAACACTCAGGATCTTTCAGTTTTAAGCTCTTTTTATTCCCCACTACGCACATTTTTGCTTGTTTGAAACATTCCAATTTGTAACAAGTTTCAGGGGATTTTAATGAGATTAGGATGGTTTGATCGCAACCGCTCCACATTAAATACAGATCCTTTGACAAATGCGTCGTAAGAATTTACTGTTTGGACTGCCTGCTTAGTTTTAATTATCACAGAAATCCCCTGCCTTGCCTCATCTTGTCTTATTCTATAAATACCACCTAGTGAGGTTTACAGGTTTTAAGTTTAAGGAGAAGAGAGCGCAGGTATTTGATTTATAAGCAATGTTGAGAGATCCTAAGCTAAAGAGAACAAGTTAGATCCCTTACTGCAGATGGTACAAATACTAACAGAGCCTCCCATGCTGTTTTCTTTTTGGCACCTTTGGCTTGTTTTAGTTCTGTTTTACCCAAATCCCAGATAGCCATAGCTGATTAAAAATAGATGATCTCAACAAGTATGCAACAATCACAATGCAGAATTGTTGTTACTTGTGTGTGACACAGACTGTGAGTAAATGTTTTGATATTTTGGAATATTTATCCGTTCTGCTGTGTGTGTTTCAGGTCCAGTCTCTGGCATCAAGGCCTAAATCATGTGAAGTGCCTGGAATCAAGTAAGTCTCAGGAGGATTACATGCACTACGTTACATAACATACAGGTTTCTGGACTAACTTTTGTACTGGTGGCACTGGTGCAACCAGCTTTCTTTTTCACCTGTTAATTCTATTAATCCGTGACTTTACGCGCTGATGAATGGCTGTCTGTATTTGCATTGCCCAGTTTTGCACTGATGTCAAGACTGACAGTGGCATTTAATCAGAAATCGTGTGAAGTTTCTCAGGTACAAGCCGTAGCTGACGTAATAGGTCATCCTCTTATTATATAAGTTGAGGATAGATAACCCCAACGTAAGGCAATGTGGAACTAAATGACTCTCATGTTATCCTCCATTGAGTAATGAAACAGCTGAAAAGTTGTCAGGAAAGGCTCATTGTTTCTTACTGTCCTTGTTCAACTTAAAAAACCTTAAGCTGTGTTGACCTGGTAACAAGTTTAGAGTTGCCTGCAGTAAATGTCCTTATAATACACACACAGCACAACTTTAGCACTGTACCAAAACCACAAGTCCTGCGTTAGCCATTGTGATTAAAAGTAGTCCTTCTGTCTTTGCTTCCTCACTTGGTCTCTCCTCTGCCTGCATTTTCAACATTATTGACTCTCTCCTCCTCCTCCTCCTCCTCCCTCCTCCCTCTCCTCATTCTCCTTTTTAAAATAATCTGCTGTAGACTGCCTCATTTTGGAACATGGAACAGCTGAACAAAGCATGTTGAAGTCACTGTGCCTCTATCAGCGTCCGTCATTCAGAATAGGATACACGTGTTTTCCATAGTGCTGGAGCTGCTCAACAGAAACATCCCAGAGATGAAATGCCAAACATTCCCAGCGCTTCAAACAGGATGTCTGCGTCCGTCTTTACACCTCTTTAAAATAAGAGGAACAGAGTTGTTATGACCAACAGACACCGTTGGCATTGTTTGACAACATTTTGCTGAGACTATTGTGTTCCCGCTCCGGATGATTTAAAACAGACGTCTCCACTTTTCACTAACATTTCATGAGCTTCATCGGCTTTCCTGTAGCATGTGGCCAGATCAGGCGTAATTTATAGGTCGTATTATTATCATAATACAGAAAGCAGTGCAGTCCTGAGAAGAGCCTGCTGAGATTTAAGGTTCCTGGAAACACTGACTTTTGTTTAACATGGAATTAAATAAGAAAGACGGAACAGTGTGCAGCAGGCGCTGAGCTGCTTTGGCCTCTTTTTTTCAGGCTTTCTGTGAGGAAAAGACACATTGTGTGTTTATTGAGGCGAGCATTTGTTCACTGTTTTGTGTTGTGCCAGTTTGTGTGGAGACAGTCGAGTCACAGCTCATATGCTGTTATTGGGAAAAATGGAAATAATGGAAATAATTAAAGAAGCAGAGAGTGGGCGGATAAAGAACGAGGCTGGAGCGAGTGGACGGGAGGCAGAGAAGCATCTTGTCAGTTTTAAATGGAAAAGGCAGCACATTTATACTGTTTACGTTAATGCAGATGAAGTGTAAATGTTGTTTCTGGTGTCTTATCAATTTTTTTTGTCTACCTTCGCTGCAGTATATTCCCGTCTCCGGAGCAGAACCCCGGTCTGTCCCACTACCAGGGTTCGTTAAGCACCGGCGGCTCCCTGCCCGACCTCAGCAACCTGCAGTTCCCCTCACCGCTCTCCACCCCGCTGGACCCGGACGACGGAGGATACCCCAACCTGAGCGGGGGCAGCAGCACCGGGAATCTGCCGGCCGCCATGATGCACCTGGGGATCGGCAACTCACAGGGTGGGTAGAGTCCAGCCTTTTTTTTTTTTTTTTGTCTTGTTGCTGTTTTGGGGATTTTTTTGTTTTGTTTTGTTGGGGTTTTTTTTGTTATTTTTGAGGTCAAATCCAACAGTGTTGGTGACTCTAATTGGCCCTCTCTCTCTCTGTAAGGCCTGATGGACTCTGGGTTTCATTTATTTATAAGGCTCTTACTGTTTTCTGTACTGCCTTACATTACTTCTGTCTTTGAATGTGGACCCTAGCCATACGCACTCAAAGGATTGGATTACTTTGCAGGTGTCGGCTAGTTTTAAAGAGCTTAGAAAATCCAGTTTTACTCCCTGCAACCTGGAATAACCCACAGAGCAATCTCAATCTGGACTCATTTTTATCCTTAGAGCAAATCAGATGTTTAAATTCCTTTTATTTTACATCAAGCTGCTCCTGTTTTAGTTGACTTTAGTAGTTTGTTGTTCATGTGCCTGCATATTTAACTCTGCTACATTATAAATTAGGCCTTCATACCTCAATGTACTCCTAGTTTTAATAAAGCTTGACCGAATGAATGAGTTTTATCTCAAAGATTCTCGATGCAGCGTTCAGTGGATGTCACTGGCACACCACCATCTCTGACCAAAACAAACAGGAACATTGGCCACACCTCCCCCTCCCTTTGTTTTCATTTGCAACCAGGAAGGTGTGCACACAAGAGCCAACAAAAAGAAAACCTCGCCACAGCCATTAGCACACACACTCTGAAACACACTGAATGGCCGTAATGAGTTGTTGTCCAATCAAGTAACATTATCTGTTCTGCTCTGTGTCTGTTTGTTTCCACGGTCCATCGAACCGGAGCGGACCCGTGTGAGGGGGAAAAAGGCACATTGTGCTTCTACAAACGGACCTCCTTGTACCTCCTTCCAGAATTCATTAGCATTTACTCAGAGTTCAGCACATGGGAAGGCTCAGATAGAATCCCGTGTTTCCTGCCAAGTAGTAGACTACTCGGAAATGTCTTGGAGAGTCAGGGGTGTTCCCACAGTCTTCCCTTGTGTCTTAACCCAAGACGAAAGACTTGAGCTTCAAACTTAACTGTCCACACACCAGCTGGTAATATCATCATCTAGAATGGCCTCTTCCTGCAGACACTACGCAGAGACACGCTGATACTTTCATCTCTCAATGCACCATTTCACCCAGAGTTGGCGTTTTTCTTTGTTTTGTTTTTGCCTTTTTTGGTATAAATTGAGGCACACTTAAAATTAGTAACGCTTTATTTGATAGATGTCTGTTCGAGCTCTGTGGCTTGGGAGAATTTGCCTTTGTGCAGTTTTTTGGATGTTGCTCAGCAACACAATTCCTAATTGTTGTTAAGTGTGTTATCTGAATTTATCAGTTCAACATGTGGCCCTTCTCCCTGTCAAGACTAAAAATATCTGAGCATGTCTGTGGAAATGAGTCATCCATCTGTAGGGATTTTAGTCTTTGTAGGTTTTAATAATCTGAAAGCTTGTTCCAGCGTTTGACTTTGTTTTTGAATCACTGCTTCAGTGTTTTGTTCTTTCTCTGCCAGCCATCCATACATTATTGATAACTCATTGAAGGATTTCTCTGTCTCCAACTTCCTCACTCCGCTGCCCGATCTGATCACACCCACTGCTCCCGCTCAGTCTCTCCTCTTTGTGTTTTGTGAGTGTATGTGTGCTCGGGCTCCCATGTCGGACACAGTTCAGCTTGGCCGAGCACCAAAGTGACAGAGGAACTTTGACCCTCTCTTGGCTCGCTACAATCAGCTCTTTTCTTTTCCCTCTCTTTCTCTCTGTCCTCTCATTTTCCCTTCCTCTGCTCGCCATCTTTCTCTCCCTCCTCAGTCACACAATAAACTCTAGTGTTTTGCGACTGGACAGCGTGCTGGAAAATCAAGTGCATTCTTCATCACAACTGCCACATGTTCTCCTCATTTACGCTCTAATGAGTTTGAAACTTCTTTATTGTCCCGGCAGGTCTCTCCTCCTCTTTGAGCAATCCCTCGATTCAGGCCTCCCTCAACAACTGCCAGCTGCAGTCATCGCTCAGCAATCCCTCCATCAACTCATCCCTCCGTCTGTCCAGCAACTCCCCTCGGCGACGGCCGGCTCCCATCAGCCCCCTCACCCTGTCGCCTGGAGCCGAGCAGCGCCGAGGTCTGGCCAAGCAGCTGTCGCCTACAATGTCCCCTTCGCTGTCCCCCATCACACAGGTACATCCACCCCACTTGAAGGGTTTCACAAGTATTTTTTGTCCAGTCGAATTGATATGTTCAGGGTTTTGTGTCCAGAGCTCTGGAATCCTCAGCGAGTTTTAAGTTTGTAAACTAAGAACCACAGCTGTCAGAACTACTAAACTAAAATAGAAATTGGAAATATGCAATGCTATAAATCGAAGTACGACTTCCAAGAAAAAACTGCCTGCCGTGCAAAAATACACTGCTTGCATTTGTGTCCCTCTGTATTCGATGGAGAAATCGTTCTGAGTAATGACGCTACAAGCACGATAAATCAACTTTACGTTCCAAGTCTTGATTAAACTTGTCTGTAGTGACTCCTGCTGGCTCTCTCTGCTCTGTGTAGGGAGTTGCTTTGGATACCAGCAACATGCCAAGGGAGCCGCCCCCGCCCTATCCGCTCTACCAACAATCCCAGCATGCAGTGGACCCGGGCCGACAATGCCAGCAGCCACAACAGCAGCAGCAGCAGCCTGTTTCCCCTCTTCAGAACATCCAGCTGGACTTCAACTCGAGCCAAGTGAGTGCTGTGAAGAGCGTCTTTGTCAGGGTGTCTGTGCATGGACAGTCATATTTCGTACAGTAGTGTTTGTGGTGTTCTGTGCGTGTGTGTTGTTGATGTTCAGTCTTGGTAACAGACTAATTTGAGCTGTTAAATAGATTCCCTAGTCCTGCAAAATAGGCATAAACAAAATCTAATAATGCAGTCTGTAGTATCTCTGAAAATATGGAGTGAATCAACGAACCAGCTCATCATTTCATCCATTGTAACCTGAAAAGGTTTAAATGGAATTTGCTTGTAGTCCTGGGGAGTTGCATTATTAATAATGGTTGTGTGTTTTATTCCCCATCAATCCACAAGTAAAAATGTGTTTAGATAGGTTTTCAAATTTATTAAAAATTACAAATTGGATTATCTTACAAAGGTATACTCTTCCGTTACCCCTCCTATCTATAAGATCCTATAATCCACGCTGCATGTCAGGACAAAAACAAAGACATGAAGTCTAGAAACTCTCTGTAGACCTCCACAGTAAAATTGTGAAAAACCATAGGTCAAGCAGTGGTATGAAACTATTTCTAAAGCTTTGAGTGTTCCAGGAGCACAGTGGGTTCAATAAATATGAAATGGAAGACGTTTGGAGCCACCAGGACTCTTTATTAAGTCGGATCGAGGCCAAGAACCCAACAATCCCTTTAACTGAGCTTCAGAATTCCTCTGCAGAGATGGAGAGTCTGATGGATCTCAGCAGCTCTCCATCAGTCAGGTTTTTTTTTCATGGTAGCACAACTAAACAGAAGCCACTTTGATCAAAAGGCATGAGAGAATGTTTGGAGTTTGTCAAGTTACTTTTGTTTATTTTTGTTCATTTGGGTATTCTCTTTGTGACTATCAGATAAATTCAGATACATTTTTTATAAATTTTTATAAATTATAAATTGTTTATAAAATTATAAGTTATAGTTCTTTTTTTTTTCTGGTGTAGCAATTTCCCTGAGGTCTTGTACCGAAGGGATCAATAAAGTTTTATTCTAATTCTAATTCTTCAGCCTCAAGAGAAGACACGTGATTACAGACGTCTTGAAGCATTTAACAAATTGCCTCACAACAATATTGTCAATAATAAAAACAACACAACGTAAGACGGCTCATTACCGTTGGATTTGTTTGACAGATCTTTGCTGGAGGGTTGTCTCTGTGCATGGGGTATCCTGTACCTCTGGCTTATGATAACAAATCATAGTCATGAAAGAGAGGATGTGACACATCGCTAAGGATTGCCTGCCCTTTCCTGACCGCTTTGAGAGCACGAGGAAAAGCATTCTTTGGTCTGATGAAGCAAAACCACAACTCTTTAGGACAGGGTACTGAGTACTTCATCTGTTGAACAGCAGGCACTGCTTATCACCTGCTAATATCAGCCCTACTGTGAAGCATGGTGGTGGCAGCATCATGCTGTGGAGGTGGTTGTCTGCAGCAGGGGAAAAAAGACTGGTCAGAACTGAGGGAAGGATTAATGTAGCCAAAATACACAGAGGTCCTTTAAAAAAACAACTGTCCAGTGGCTTCAAACCCAACCAAACATCTGTGGAGAAATCTGAAGATGAAAGTTCAGATGGTTCCCATACAATCTGATGGAGCTGGAGAGGATCTGCTGGAAGAATTGGGAAAAAAAACTGCCCCAAATCTAGATGTGCAAAACCTGTAGTGACTTCATGAGTTGTATAAATACTTGTGTAAATGAGATTTCCGTTTTCCCTTTGTCATTCTGGGTTATTGACTGTAGATTATTTGGAAAAGTCCAGACTTTTAAACCATTTAAATTTCAATCTACAACCCAAACATGTGCAAAAAAGTGACTGTAGCACTTCATTATTTGTATAGTACTGTTTAAGCACAATTACAGCTTGATCTACACCACCTGAAAGAACCAGTAAGAACTTGTTTATGTACATCTCACATGTCATCGTTAATCAGACTAAACCTTTTTTTTTTCCCTGACAGCACAACAACATGGCAGCACTGTTCAGCGACCAATTCATGGAGCCACAGTTTTCTAATCGCCAGACTAAAACCCTTCCCTACCAGGTAATAGTTGGGAAACACTCTGATGTAGTGCATGCATGTTCTTTTTCCTTTTTTTTGATAAAAGCAGCATTTATTTTCGGTCAAAGCTGATCTTTAGAATACATGAAATATCCACAGTCTAGCAGTAGATGCAGAGAATGTGTCGTGTTTGTAATTGTAAAAATCTTTCCAAATTAAAAGGTCACGGTAGAATTTTCTGCTGCAGACTAAACTCTGACAGGGTCTGCTTGTTAGACAGACACAAGTTTTTTACAAAAACAAGCTAATTAATGCCCTGAGGGACTTTTATTTGTGCCCTGCGAGGTTTGTTCATCAGGAAGCTTCGTATTCATGTCGTTCTACTCAGTTGCAGAGTTAATAGTGTTTATATTGAACTGTCAATGTAATGAGAAAACACTGTAATTGGCTCGAAGACCTCACATGAAAGATGCTGCCAGGGCGAACACGATGCCAGTTCAGCTCACTGAGTCTTTGTGTTTTCTCTCGATTGCCATTTTCTCTCCACCATCTGCCGACTAGTTGGATCAGTTCAGTCTGTTGGAAAACGCAATGAGCTCCACAGCAGGGGGGTCATGCTTCGATCCTTCGTCCTCCTCCTCTCCCTCCTCGCTCTACTACTCCCAGGCTGCTCTGTCGGGGCTGGGCGGCAGCCACGGCAGCCTGCAGGACCCGATGCACATGAGGTCCAACATGCTGTACTCCAACTGCAGCGGAGGGCTGCCCAACATCATCCTCACTGGTGAGTGCCGCAGGCCGGTGGGCTGATTTGGTCTCCAATATAGGCCACCATATTTGTCTTTGCAGGAAACATCTAAACACAAAAAAAAATGGAGTTGTGAAGCTGAGAGACGTTCAGAAATATTGGAAACTTTAACACCGATTTGAAACCAGTTAACTTGCATATACGGTATTTTAATACAGCCAGTTTCCCAATAAGGCTGTTCTAGTTTGCATATTTCTCTGTTTCTGTAGTCAGGCAACAGAACAAGAATGAAACTCTCAGAGCCGGCCCTAGGCATAGGCAGTATAGGCAAATGCTAAGGGAGTGATCTCACCGCTGATCGTCTGTAAACTATCTGAACTCTTCGTCATCTCCTTGAGCAAAGTTTGATTTGTTTACAACAAGCAGCAGCAAAACTGGAGCTATTTGTGGTGTTGCTGAAGTTTTGTTTTTTTTTACACGCTTTTGCCATGGAGAATATTTGTCTTTTTACAAAATCAAATTGTAAAAAATGCTTCACAGCATTTACTGTCTTATGAGAAATTAAGAATATAACTGCAATTAATCGGCAAAACTCTGGCTGATTGAGTATTTTGAAAAGGGCTATAATCGGCCGATTTAATGAGCCAGCCGATAAATCAGTCTGGCCCTACTGGTAACGCTACATGAGTAAAAAACAATGGCAGTGTCAGAAATACAGCGATAATTGCATGTAAAATTATCACACCAGAGATAAAGCTTGGTCTCTCACACTAACTCACATCAATATCAGCTGCTGTATTGTCAACTGTTTGCTCCGAGCTGTCAATCACATAAGCAGAGAGTCTTCTTCCTTAAATAAAACAAGTCTCACACCTGTGATGCAGTCATACCAACATGAACCCTCTTTGCAGTATTTTGAGCTGAAAATTAAAGACACAGTGTAAGAACCTGTAAGACTTTTATTACTTTGCTGAAAAGATGCACAATATGGAACAATAAAAGCTGCATTGCTTAATTTAGAGCCGTGAAGCAGCAGTTGAACCCCTGAATTGAGTAAATCAATACATCTCAGGGCTCCAGTGTGCAACTGTTTTAGGTGCGACTAAACCTTTGTGTTGGTCGAACTGGTGCTGCTGACATTTAGCAGCTCTGTGTGTCTCTGGTCAGCCCACCCAGGTAGATACAAATCACTCTGCTACAGCCTCAAACGTCTTATTTTGCTCTTTCTAAACTGCATTTTGGTCACACACCTGTATGAGTGGAGACTAGAGGGTCTCTTTGCACAGCCGACTACTGGTGCATGTGAGGTGGCCTTTTGGGGACATCTGTAGCTTCAGAAAACAACCGGGGTGACACTCTCCTGCTAAACTGCACAAGCCTCCTCTGCATGCACATCATTCACACCACGCCACCCACCACAAGTAAATGCTCAGCCTGTGGGAAACAGATACGATGAAACAGCCAGCATTATGCATGTACGAGGGCAGCCAGAGCGTAGCCGGGAACAGAGCTTTGGCTGTCAGCGCGGCGACTTTCTGAATTGAAACATTACAAAAAGCATAATGTCTCCAGGAAACTGGTCCTGTACTGTGACAGGGTTCTGGCCGGCAGAGCAGCTCGTCTTCCAGCAGCGTTTCAACACCACTGAGGAGTCACATATTATATTTATTCACTGCTTGTAATCCAGTTCTTTTTTCTGACTTTAAATCCCACATCATGAAAATCATTTAAACGTTTATCTGCACCTTCACGCCCGTTTGCAGTCATTTACATAATGTGTTTAGAAACTACAGGTGTGTGTGGAAACTGACGCAAAAGGTGAAGCTTATGATGTTTTATTCAGCACGAAAAGACGTGACAAAAAGCTTTCAATGCACCTTAATGAAACATTTAAACAGTAAATAGAGTAAAAAGTTCATCTGGCTTCCTGCATCTTTATGAAAACAGCTTTAAACAGGAAGAACAACTAACAGACAGAACTGACAGAGGCAGAAGAGCTGTAGGAGCTATTTGATCTTATAGTAATGACTTTCTAAAGTTCACGATTATGGTGAGAGGTGTGAGGAAATGGCCTCAAACTGGCTTTACTAGTCATGGCCTTTGTCCTCCATTAACACAACATTCATTGTCCTTCAAATCCACAAGCAAAACAGTCATTTTGTAATTTTTAGATTAAACAAGGTCCCATCAGGACTTCAGTGATTCTGCATAAAGAAGCGTGTGTACAGGTTTTCCAGGCTACATGCGGAGAGCTACTGCGTGTTTTATTTCTTCGGCTTAAATCAAACAGAAACGTCTCCTGAGCAGCTTGTTTCCAGACATTCAGGGTAGTCCTCTGACAGGAGGAGGATGACGGACTGCTGTAAAGTGTTGACTGTCGCCTCAGAAGCAGTTCTTAAGGTGTCGGTCAGATAAGAATTGTTTCTTTAACTTTCACTCTTTTCTCTGTACTTTTTTTTTTTTTTACTGGCAGCACCTGTTAACTGTTCTTTTCTGAGGCTTAAGTCAAAGTGGAGCACCTGCTGAGCAGCTTGTTTGCAGGTATTAAGTGGACGAAGATGAAGGTACTTTCCTCAAGTTGTTGCCTTTTCACCGCCTCGGGCTGCAGCTCTGATTCCTCTGTAATGTTTTGGTCTAATCAGGGATAAAGTTTGACTGCAGCAGCTTTAAAGTGAGTCAAAAAAGAGCTGTCATGACTCATGATGAGGGCACTGGGGCTGTTAGCTGCAGCAGGAAGAGGTGTTGGAGGCTGGAGGAAACATTCACCCACCATCGTCTGTTTCTCCCCCTCAGATGACTCCAACCCCAGTCTGTCTAAGGACATCAGCAGCGCGCTCTCCACGGTGCCGGAGTGTTTCGACTCAGAGGGAGGCTTCCCGCTGGAGGACGAGCTGCGCATCGAGCCCCTCAGCCTGGACGGTCTGAGCATGCTCAGTGACCCCGACATGGTGTTGCCGGACCCGTCCGTGGAGGAAACCTTCCGCAGCGACAGACTCTGAGCGTAAAGAGCACTTCAAGAAAGAAAACACACACACACACACACACACAGATTTGCAGTGTATAGTGTACAAATCTGAATATGCATGCGCTCGATCTCTGTAGGGCCACTGTGCATGCACCCACTGCCACTAAGATTCATTAAATGTGAAAGACACGAGCCGCATGTGCACCATCATCCACATTTTTTTAAAAGAAGGAGACTCGTGAACAAACACTGTTTACACCGGCTTCGCGCGGCGGTACCCTCGCGCACACTCGAGCTCGTGATGTTATTGTAAAAGATGCAGTTTTGAACTCAGCACCAGGACCCGAAGCAGCTCGGAGACTCTGCTCCTCCTCCCGACCGCTTCCAACCACAAAGACTCGGAGGAACATCGAGGCGATCCGGAGAGGAGCCCAAGTCCTCCCGCTTCTTTCTCTCATCACCACCTCGCACCCCCTCCCTCCTCCTCTCCCCTCCCCTCCCCTGAAGCCATGGCAACCTCATCACCATGGCTACACACCATAGCAACCCCATCACCGTGCTGAAGAGCAACAGAAATGCCAACATTTAAGTTTCTTGCAGCTCTGGTATGCGAGTGGAGCTCAGAGCTGTGCTGCAGCTGGAGCGCCGAAGTGCGTCGCGGTGAAACATCTGGCACTTTTCTTCAGGTGAAGTTAAATCCAGGTGTGCCGCGGCCGCCTCGGGCTCTCGAACAATCATGGTAGAAATGAAGACTAGAGGGATTTTTGTTTTCAAATGTGTTTCTTTGCATACGGTGTCAGATTATTTTTAAAGTGTTTGCCACAGATTTATAAATATAAATATATATATTTACTTATGTAAGCCTCAATTTCAGTCTGATTAGAATGTATTTTCAAAGTAGAGACAAAAAGGGCAAACTGTTTACAAAGATTTTAATAAGTAAATACTACTAAAGAGTCTAGATTTTTGAATTTCTAATTGAGAATTCTAACGTGTGTTGAGTAAATGCTATATTTTTTCCTTGCAAATTTGGACACATCTCCACTTTCCTCAGTCAGACAGGAGTCGGCTGTGATTCTCTCTGGCAGGGCACTGGGACAAACCAACGTCAAAATCTGTTTTAAAAAAAAAAACAAAAAAAAGGAACTTTCTTTTTTGGATGTTTTCAAAAAATACTTTAATGTACATTCATTGCATATGATTTCTTTTACATTTTGTACTGACTTGTAATGGCGCTTGTACTGTACTTTAAATCTCGTCGTGAATAAGGGCATGCGCTGTGCTACTGTGGATCGATTATGTCCTGTGTGTGTTTGCAGCTTTCTGTCCTTTTATTTTTGTTACAGCAGTACAGTAAACCCCCCCAACACCACCACTGTGTGGCTGAAGTGAGCGATTCAGAGAGCAGGCAGTGATCAGTGGACATCGGACATCATGTAACGTTGCACTTAATCTCTTTTGCACTAATTGGTTCACATTGTGTCGACTGATATTTTTGTTTTTTATTACCTGACAACCCAAAGAAGTTGAATGAAGCCATCGCTAAGAAACTTTATATGACTAAATATTTGTAGTCGGTGCGCGTTATGTGCATTTCAAAACACAAGCAGCAGGTTTCTGATTTTGATGTGAGAAGAACTGATGGAATTCAGTCTTCTGGGCTTTGATAATGTGTTTTTTTGTAAAGAGCAGTTGATTATGTAATGACTCAGCCATGGAGGGCATTGAGTGCCCCCTAGTGTCTGTTTTTATTAAAGTCAAAGAGCTATTTTTTAATACTATGCAACTCAAAGTGAAACCTGTTGAACAGGTGCAACTTGTACTTTATGCAGTGGCTCGCAGGTTCATTTTGTTACGATGTGCGGGATCAAAATTCACTAGAAATCACAATATTACATGTGTCCAGTGTCCACAGTTGGCAGAACTGATCAACAGTTGGAGAACAATAGTTGTGAGCGGTTTAAAGGAGCTCGTTTTAGCACCGTTTGTCTTGTTTTCAGTCAGGAGTGCATGAAAGAGATTCAGTCGATATTGTCAGACGTAACATGAAGAGGGGTGCCGGGGTTCTTTTCTAAGAGTTTGTGTTCAGTTTCAGCTCTTCTGCAGTTTGACCTGCTCTCTTGTTAACTCTGTAAAGACGGCGGGTGAGTAACGGAGCCACGTAGCAGTTTCATTTACTCGTGTTTTGAGTCTGTTTTTCTATTCCTCCCCCTGCTGTCTAAACGCCTGCCTTCTGCTGCCTTACTTTGTTGTATTTTCATATTCTAGCAGTAACCTGCATCAGCTAGTAATCCT